GCGGCGCATAAATAAAAATTAAAAAAAAAATTCTAAAGTAGCACCTGCAATTGTAGAGCCTCAGAGCGGGAGCGGATCTGCTTCCTTGCAGGTCGAGTGCTGCCAAAATCCATCAGTATGGCAAGTGGTGGTTGTCCTTTTCTATGAGTTATAAGGACATTACCAGGCTTGACATCGTTATGTGCATATGGTGGATCTAAATTGTGCATGTGCTTCAGTCCTGCACAAAGCTGTTGAATTGATTTTCAGGTTACAATTTGTGTACACTTAGAACTAATTCACCCCCAACATACATCACTATGGCAGACGAGGTACGCTAATGAATAATTTTTGACTTACGCAGGTATAACCTTGTTTATCAGAACAATGCACAAGAAAAACCACTAAATTTATGTGAATTTAAAGTACCAAACTAAAAAATTCATGGATATAGGTGTGTTCTTGATCGCTCAATGTTTAACCATGTCTGGTTAGTGTTCACTGTTTAGTAAGAGTACATTAGGAAAATTACACAGTTTCCCCAATCTTGACCAAGGGGAGGAATTTGAAGTAAAATTTCTATTTTAAGGGGTCTTTAAAATCCATTGCTGAATAATCAATTACAAAGGAAAGAAGATCAGGTAAAATCAAACAGCATTTTCCCATATGCTTTTCAGACAACATATCTGCCTTGCAGAAGATGACAAATACCCAATAGAGAGCGACATGGGGGACAATAGCATTCTAGGCAACTTTTGATAGCGTACAAGCACATTAGATAGTAGTAGAGTAATTCCGAGATGAATGTTCTAAACACAGATATTGCCATTGTTTGCATTCTATGATTTTAAGGAAGGAAAAGTTTCATTTTCTCCAGTAAAAGAAATAGTCAAATAATATATATTATGAGAGGGAAATTTTATGTACCTGCCGGAAAATATGAAGAACATCTGAGGTAGAGAAGAACTCCTTTTTAGCTTTCATAGTTTTGGCATTGTCCAACAATGTTCCATCCAAATGAACTGGAAATAACAAGTACGCTTCATGCTTCCAAGATCCTTCTTGTGTAGCCTGCCAATAGAAGAAACATTGCAGTTTGGAAATCAACAAATGGAAAGATATCAAAAGTCTTTGGCCATTCTTTGTGGTTCGAATACAGTGTTATATCGCAATTAATACAGTTGTAATTTAGAGTATGTTGCAGAAACTAAATATTGATATTGCTACTCAAGCGACTAGAGAACCAAATCTCAAAAAGCTTAACTTCCAAGTTCAATATATTTAAAGGATATTGAATATCTTTAAAACCGATGCATAAGTAAGTATTGGTGGCTTGTCGTATTTATTTTTTCTTTTTTTGTTCTGAAAGGAAAAACATCAGGTAATTTGTTTTAAAAATGGGAAAATTGATACGAACAAACCATGTGAACCACACAAATGCAGATCAACAAACATAACCATGAAGTCAAATACCAATAACTGAAACATGTTTTTGTGGTTTAGGAACAAAGACTAGGGTCAACTTTGAAAGTTCAATACCAACAGTTATACCAAGAAAATTCTACAAAAATACCAGCTAAATACTATCAACTTAAATTTTAAAGTGAATTCTAAATTTCTGATAGGATATAGATGAAGAGAACCTTGACAGCAATAATGGCATGATCAAGAAGTGGAAGCAGATTCGGATGGCAGAACAGGGATGAAACATGGATCTCCTCCCTGACCAACTCCAACTGCTCACTATTCTGAATCAGAACCTTTTTCATAGCATAAGTCCCATCATCTACAAAAGAAACAAGAGCCATATACACATAAGTACACAATTTACAGAAAAAGCTTTTTCATTGTAAGTGCACAATCTACTGGAGAACAAAACGCCCAGAAACAATAATATGCCCTTCTAAAGGAAAAATTAATGAACTTTGTCGTTCAGGGATAGCTCATATAAATCTAACTTGAAAAACTTTTGGATCAGTTGTTCATTCCACATAAAGCAAGGAACCAAAACAATTGTCTCACATCCATGATCAATTGACAGAAACAAGAAATTAAAGAGACCAAAATAGACGTAAGACGGTCCTCAAACAGCTACGCAGAAACTGCTACATTGTAAATGGAAGATCACACATATAAATCACCAAACGTTCATTGTCAAAGCCACATTTTGAAACTTAAATTACAGAAAATCACCACATTGCAAATTGAAACTCAACAAATATTATCGGAAAAATTATTTACTTCCCACCTATGAATAAGAGAGAATTGTACAAGATGACGAAATTGCATTAAGAAAAACGAAAAGATTGATCACTTCTAAGCTGATAAAATCAAATCCGATCATCTCAGACTTAAAATTAAAGTTTTCCTTCATGACCCAGATCACTAAATTAAAGGAAAAAATAAAATAATTCTCATATCATAGATTCAAACTAAAACATTTCAGATTCATAACAATTACGACCGAGATCACGAAATCCCAGTTAAAGATTTCAAACTCCACATTGATCGAAAACAAATAAAAGCAAAAACAAATTCAGATTCAAGCACAAACGATCCAGATCACAAACCCCACCAAATTAACAAAAAAAAAAAAAAAAAAAAACGAAATTGAAAAAATGTGAAAGGGATCGAACGAACCAGAGAGATGAGAAGAGTCCTTGACTTTCTTGGCGAGACCACCACCATTAGCGGAAGTGTCGGTGACGACCTCTTTGACCAAAAAGACATAGGCGAATCCACCTTCTCCGAGCTGCCTGATGATCCTGAAGCGGTTCTCGTTGATCCAAACGTCTCCTCCGCCATTAACGGCGTCGTACAGAGCATTCAACCCTGAAAACGAGCACCCCATCTTTCCCCTTTCTTCTTCTTCTTCTTCTACAAGAACGAAGGAATGGTTATGGAAGACACGAAATCAGGTTTTCAAAAAATGGGGGATTTTTTGAAGACCTGATTTCATGCGTCAATTTTCGAGAGCTTGAGTGTGATTATGTTATTATTGGTTTTTTTTTTTTTGGGTACTGTTTGGTTGGATCTATTTTGTTAAGAGGGAAAAAGAGAGAAATTGTTTTTGGGTCATTGGATCTCTCAAAATGTCAACCAAACACATGGATGTGGAGTGCTTTCGACAGACTCACTTTTACATGCATCGCCTCCTGAATTTTGGGAAGGTAACGCTCAATTTGCCCAAAACACTGCCAATAATTAATTATAATTGTTTGCCTTTTTTTTTATAAAAAAAAGAACAATAATAATAGCTGATCTTTTTTTTTTTTTTACCAAAAATAATTGTTAATAATGTGTTTTAGTAAATAACTAAATATTAATAATTATATAAAAATATTGGTGAAGTCTTTAGGGTACAACAAATATAACATCTTTTTTTCTTCAGACTTGTAAGTTTTTTTTTTTTTTTTTTTTTGGGATAACAGATTTTAAGCTTTTTCGTATCATTAGAGCAAATTTAATATAACATGGCGCTAACGTTACATTTAAACAAAATGAGTATTATATGAACATATATATATGAATTACGACGTTACAATGATAAAAAATAATATTACATTTATTAATAACGAGATTAGATTAGTAAAATAAATAGTCTTGAGGAATCTGATTATTAGATCATTAGTTTAGTATCTTTTTAATTATTAAAAAGTTGAGCAAATTTAAATATGAAAATGAAGTTAAATGAATCGTCTTTTTTTCTTGGTAATTTTTTTTAGGAAAAAAATATTCTCACTATTAAAATTGAACGTCCCTAAAATGTCATCGCCTTTGAGAAAAGAAATTGAAATAATATGGAGTATAGACATTAAAATTGCATCGGTTTAGCCGGAATTTTACAATAATTCAATTGTTGTTTTTATTTTTTAATTAAAAAATTTATTGATGTCATCTTGTTTCAGGTTCCATCGTGTAAACTGTAAAGCAAGAAGTAATTATTTTAAGATTGACGTTAATTTAGATCCAAAAGAGACATGACAAGCCTAGGGACAGGAAAAATTCTAATGAAAAACTTTTTACTATTTATTTTTAATTAATACCCTTTTAACTAATATAATTATTTGAATTAAAATGTAAATTAATACCTTTTTAATTAATATAATTATTTAAATTAAAATGTCCTTTTCAATGACATGTGATTACAAGCTTGATGGTAATTTTATACCTAGTTCTAATATCTGAGGTTTAGGTTCAAAATTCAATATTTTAAAGATTGAAAAAAATTATATTAATTATCAATAACAATGCATAGCATTGACCCTACAAGAAAATGTTTTCTTGATTCCAAAAAAAAAAAAAAAAAAAAAAAAAAAAAAAGGTTTTCTTGACTAGAATCCCCCATTGTTTGTTAGAGATCTCTGATCCTCTCTCTCTCAAAAGTAAACAAAGCTAGACAGAGTTGTTAATGCAGCATTTACTACTACTTGATGTGGGGCCTCTGTTGCATTTTATGTGTCTAGAAGATATGGAAAGATGACACATGGAGATCATTAATAGATTAATAGAGTAAGACTCGGAGCTTATTAAACTAATTGGACATTTAATATTCAAGCAAGCAAATCAATTTGAATGCTCTGGAGTCCCTGGACCAGGCAAAACAAATGGAAAATGTAAACTGAAGTTTTAGATTTTCCTTTTTTTTTTTGGCTTAATTTTATTAATTCATTTCTTTATTTTACTTAAAACATTAGAAATGTAGCATAAAAAGTTAAAGTTGAATTTTTATGAGAGAAAATATCATAACAAAAACTTGAATTGCAATTCGAACCAACAAAACGAACAAGCCTCAGCTAATGTTATGAGTACCAATAATACATGTGCCATTAAGTTGGAATGGCTGGTTGTTGCTGAGTTATGCAATGTATATTTCCACCCGCTAAAACTATCTCCCTTGCACCTTCAATTCTCACCACCTGAAAACAGTCCAAGGAATGCAAATGTTTATTTAGAGAATGACGAACATAATCAAATTCAATATAACATTGTACGTTGATTTCATGTTACATGGCATCAAAATGTAGTCTTTCAATATTCTAGTTGAGGCACGCAGACATTTTATTTCCAAGTAACATCAAAACTGAGGTCCTAACTTATCGGCAAAGTACTGTACCGTGCAGCCAATTTTTGAGGCATTGGATAATAGTCAAATCGATTTGGATCATTGAAAAATTTAAGCTACTTTTTGCCAAGTGAGGCCCAACAACAAAAAATTTCAACGGTCCGGATCGATTTGACCATTATCCAATTTCTAAAAAATTGAAAACAAGGTCCAATCATAAATGACCGGTTGTTCTTTCAAAAGAAAAAAATGACCGGTTGCACTTAGTTCAATTCCTAACTTTTTCAGGCTTCGGAACAATTTAAACTTTTGGACCATTGTACTTGGTCATTTTTACAACACAGGATCACCCCCCCCCCCCCCCCCCCGCGCGGATGTCGACTTCAAAATATGCACATCTGTGACCTCTAATCTCCAGTTGGTAGCTACCACAGCATTTTGACATTGCAAAATCCTCCATCTTTTTCTACAATAATTGACTAGCTAGCTAAAGTTTACATCATTCACAATTGTCCAACTTTACAAGCGTACCCTCCCGATAAGAGTCTTAGGCTACTTGGTCCTGGATGTTGACTTCAAAATATGCACATCTGTGACCTCTAATCTCCAGTTGGTAGCTACCACAACATAAGCATTTTGACATTGCAAAATCCTCCATCTTTTTCTACAATAATTGACTAGCTAGCTAAAGTTCGTTATGACACAGCAAAGTTCGTCTACAAACTTAATATTTGTTGTGCTACTAGATATACATGGCGATTAATGAAACAAATTAAGAGCGGAATTTCCTTACTTCATGGCTCGGAAAGGTTTGAGACAGGACACGAACTGCTTCGTCATCCCATTTCTGGTCCCCAAATTGTGGTAAAATGATTCCTCCATTAGCAATGTAGAAATTTACATATGAAGCTGCAAGTCTTGTACCCGCAACTCTTGGTTTAGCTTCATTATCCTTTTGTTAATACATTGAAAGGTCAGAGACAAGAATGAATGAACCATAATAATCTATCATTAATGGAAGACTAAAATAAGAAGTCTTTTTCCATTACAAGAACTGATTAAATTAATAACGGTACATCACTTTTTCTGTGGTAAACTATGCATGCAAATATGACTGACAAACTACATTAAAATATACTTATCAAAAGGATAACTGACTGGACATGATTTAAATTCAAGCGCATATCAACTTTGTAGAGGTTTATATTGTTCAATGGTATGAAAATTGAGATCATGGCTCTGAAATAGTTACCGTCTTAACGCCAGCAGCCTCTTCATCAGTCATGTATAACGGTCCCGGTACGTGGATTTTAATTATTTCAAATTTCCTGCCACTGGCATCAGTAGCATTGGAGAGAACAGAAAAGGCTTCAAGAGATCGCTCATACTGAGGATCCGTTTCATCATTGGTCCAGGACAACATAACCTCTCCAGGCTTTACAAAACAGCACATATTGTCAATATGACCATTAGTGTCGTCATCACCTGATACGCAATTTTGTAGATAGCTTAAGTTTCAGTTAAATACACAAAAAAAAAGGTGTAACTTAATACATGAAGCCATAAAAGTTTTCGGAGAAGTATTGATCAAAACTGTATAAGCAGCATCATCACAACTAAGTCAGATCTCACAAGTAAATACAAAGAAATTTCACCAAGTAACCTGGAAGAGTTATGTACCAAATAGTCCCCGAGGCAACCAAATAATCTTTCTGACTCCAAGATATGCCTTCAGTACCTCCTCGATTTGTTCCTTGGTCAAATGTGGATTCCTGTTTTTATTCAAAAGGCACTCCTCAGTGGTAAGGCAAGTTCCTGAAGGGAGGGGGCAAAAAAAAAATCTGATTACATTTGACATATGCATACCATAAGGGAAAAAACAGGAATAATAATGTGAATTTAGTTTTCTTCTAAGGAAAAATGGGTCCTGAATATTGGTATATCAATTGTTGAGTCATCAAGAACAGATAGACCCTTTTAGTTTAACCAAATGAAATCAATAATCTGCTAGGACATGGTAATGCAATTGTATACAGGTTAAACCGGAGACGGAGCATTTCAGCAACTCTTTTAGAAAAGATGTTCAAAAAAGACCACACTAAGATATATCATGTTGCAGCTCTTTGATCAATATTGTAATTTCCCCTTGTAAACAACAGTAATACACCATAATGCTAATAAAAATATATTCATTTATAGGGGCCTTCTTCTAGCACTTGGTATTTTAGTTTTGCTACAAACAACAAATAAAAAAATAAGATACCGCATATATGAACACGCACAAGTGAAGTGAACACATAAAGGAATAGGCAATGATTTGTCTACTACAGTAACAAGAAATTTCACCTTCTCCATCCACATGGATGCTTCCACCTTCCAGAATTATAGATTGTGGAAATCTCGGGACCTTCTCAATTCCTAGAATCTAATGGCAAATGATGACTGTTAGAGAAAGAGATGAACAGTCTCCAGAAAAAAAAAAAAAAAAGAAGATATATATTATGAATAAGCAAGCTGACATCCAATTTATTTTTCCAAGGGGGAAAAAAAACTGAGAGAGAGTCATTTATACAAGTACTGCACAAACCTTCCGTGCAACAAGAAGGTCAAGACTCCAATCTTGGTAACATCCATCTTCAATACCTAAATATTCCAACGAGTAATTCCATTTAGAGGGCATGAAAGAAACTCGACTGCAAGACTATAAGACTACTATATCCCTGATCATTTAAATCCATAACCATTTTCTCAGTTGTGCAGTCAAATATGAGATTTACAGGGTCCATTTATGAACAATGAACAAAGGAAAAGAGTGCTGATAATTTCTTCGTTAGAATTATAACATACAAGGCAGACTTCTTCCCAACATTGAAGTACCAATTATACATTATGAACTTCACCATCTCAGTACTTGTTGCTTTAGCTTCTATGTCACTGAATCTATAATGATCATGGTAAAAGGATTAAAGTTGAATTGGACTTGCAGGCTTTAGCATATAAAGTCACCAACTATAACATAATTGAAAAAAAAAAAAACACACTAGAATGCTTTTAGAACATCCTGAAAACTTAGCCAGTTTTTCAGTATCTTTAAAGTAGGCTGATATTTTTTATGGTAAACTGGTAGAAAACACGTTACTTGATTCATAATACACACAAACTAGACTTTGTTAAAACCTTACCTCCCCAACTATTAAAATTCCAATCAATGCCAGCAACTTTGTGCTTTGACGCAGAAGAACTTGACCCGCCTTTTCTTACAACAAACTGAGAGATAAAAAGTGAAACAAATAATCACATTACAGTAAATTTCTAGAGAAAACCAGCCTAATTAGCCAAGAAAAAGTAAAAGGCAGAAGCTCACAGTTGACCCCGTATCGCGAAACCAAGAATCATTCATACTCATCTCAACAACCCTGATATGTTTTGGTAACTGACTCCGCGCATTACTCCACTGATTAAGTGATGAAATAAAACTTCAAACTCAGTTTTTGAGAAGGATATTAAGTAACGCGTGAAAGACCTCAATGTTCTGCGTTTACAACATTTCTACTAACCTGAGTAGCACTTGCACAGACAGTTACAGGTTCAAACTTTGAGATTGCAGAAGCTACCTTTGCGAATACACTTTGAGCAGGTACTGCATTGTCTCTCCAGTTATCTGGGCGCTCCTATAACTCAAAAGTAACCTTAATTTCAGACCAAACTAAGTAATACTCATAAGAACAGTATAGAACTATAGATATAGAACAAAAGAAGTCCAGGTGATAACAAGGATCAAATGAGCCAGAAGATTTATTTTTTTGGTCGGCTATCTTAATTGGTGTTCGTGGGTGTGTGAGTTGTACTCAATGTATCGAGTCTTAAATTCAAGTCCTATGGGTAAATAAAATAAAATAAAATAAAATAAAAGGATCAAAATGAAAAAAGATTAACGGTATCTAGAGAGAGAGAGAAAGAGAAAATCACTTTCTAATCAGAGATAATGAAGCGAATAACTTGATTGAGTTTCAACTCCAAAAGGGTCCTTTTCAAAACTCTTTTGTTGTGCAACTTCTTTTGCATTCCCAGTAACAACTCTCGTAGACACTTATACAATCATTTTGCAAATATTCCAGTTAACAACAAAATATAAGATCCGAACATTAGCAAATTCATGAAAGCGTATCATAAACGAAATCAGAAAAAGATTGGCGTGTACATTGTAACAAAAAAAAAAAAAGAAAAAAAAAAACCCAGTTCTCAAACATAACGAAATATGCAGAAAATTCAAGGAAATTCCCCCAAAACCCAGTATCCTAAACTACGCAATTACATCAAATAAACCGATAAACATGGAAAATTCATATTACCCACTTAAGAAAAAATTGAACAAATAAATAAAAGAAGGAAAGGAAAAGCAAACTCACAGGCCAACCAATCCAACACTGTGAATGGGGTTCCCACTCTGCAGGCATGTGGTATCCATGGAAAGCCGGTGTGCCTTCAATATCCATAACCAGTTCCTTTCTCTCTCTAGAATTTATTATTTATTATTATTATTATTATTTTTTGGGGTGGTTTTGGGGGGGGGGGGGGGGGGGGGTTTGTAGAAGAAAAGTAAAGGCTTTTGGTAAGTCGAAATGAACAAGAACAAGCGAGCCGAGAACGAACCAGATGGCAGCTTGGGTTTTTTTATACGTGGGAGACATGAGTGGGGTCCACTGGAAGAACTGATTCCTGGAATTATTGTGAATGAATTGAGAAAAGGAAATAAGATTCCTTGGTATCATTTTTTTTTTTTTTTCCTTGAAACCTTGGTATCATTAATTAATTAAACTTACTCAGCGTTGGCAGCGAATTGTGTCAGAAATAAGGCGTTATGTGCCATCAATTTCTCTTCTTTAAAAAAAAATAATAATAATTTGGCAATACGTCCGAAATTTTAAGCACTGTTTTTTTCTGTTTGTCTGATTAATTACACAATTGTCAATTTTTGTTCTATGGATTTTTCCAATCATACCGAATATTGCTGACTGACAAAAGCAGTAAAGACAAAAGTGTCCGGGAGATGGATGAGCGCACATGCCACAGATAGAAGTGCAAGTTTGGAGTAGACCAAATCAACCTGTTTCGTTACTGTTGGCTTGAGTTCAGTCTGATCCGATTCTAACTTTCAGACCGGACTGGGTCGAGATTTTAAACCTAAAAATTTATGAGAGAAAGAAAAAAATAGGTCAAGACTTGAAATGAATTAAAATTAATAAGTTAATAATTTACATAAGTTAATAAATAGACTAAATTACTGTTTTCGTCCATAACTTGTCTGGTTATGAACCATAACTTAACAACTTATTATCCATAATTGTCTATAACTTGTCTGGTTATGAACCATAACTTGACAAGTTTATTCATAATTTATTTGGTTATGAACCATAACTTGACAAGTTATGGCCTATTAATTTCTATAACTAAAAATTGATCTATATACTTTCTTAAACTTTTTATATTGATCTATTTTTTACTATTTTCCAAAACTTATTCGGGTAAGCTGGCCAGCCCCAAGGCTCTCTTTTTAAAATTTTTATTTAAAAAATACTTTATAAGTCTCATTAGACTGATTTTCTCTTTTTTAGGACCAGATAGCCAATACACAAATTTCTATCAGAAATAGTAGAAAATATACCAATATGAAAAGCTTAAGAAAGTATATAGGCCAATTTTTAGTTATAGAAATTAATAGGCAATAACATGTCAAGTTATGGTTCATAACCAAATAAATTATGGACAAACTTGTCAAGTTATGGTTCATAGCCAGACAAGTTATGGACAAAAACCGTGAATTATAGACAATAACTTGTCAAGTTATGGTTCATAACTAGACAAGTTATGGACAAAAATAGTAAGTTGGCATATTTATTAACTTATGTAAACTATTAACCTATTAATTTTAATTTATCTCAAGTCTTAACATATTTCCTTCTTTCTCCCAATTTCTATTTGGGTTACCAAACCGGGCCAGATGGCCAATTTTTTCATCTCTAGCCACAAATGATAAAACAATCTTGAAACGACCAATAGAGAAAAAAAAAAAAAAAAAAAAAAAAAAAAAAAAAAAAAAAACAACAACAACAACAACAAAAGAGATTTTCTAGATAGACATGAAAAAATAACCGAACAGTCAATTTCAGTTTTTCAATTGTCAAATATGTATTAAAAAAATATCCCTTCTTAGATTTTTACATCACTTCACCTAATAGGTAATTCAAATTTTCTAGATTTTAACTCTCAACCAGGGGTGGAACCATATACAACTTAGAATAGACGTCCACTCCACCTGAAAATTTATCTTTTAATTTTGTATCTAAAATGTGATTAAATTTATAGTTCGCCCCGTGAAATTTTATTATTATGAAATTTTAATATGTGAAATCTCTCACTTGATTTATGTGAAAATAATCAAATTTTTGGTATATACCTTGGCCCCCGAGTTATTTTTTTGACTCCACCCTTGTCCTTAAAATACGTATTATTGCAAACTTAGAATAGACGTCCGCTCCATTTGAAAATTTATCTTTTAATTTTGTATCTGGAATGTGATTAAATTTATAGTTCGCCTCGTGAAATTCTAATATGTGAAATCTCTCACTTGATTTATGTGAAAATTATCAAATTTTTGGTATATGCCTTAGCCCCCGAGTTATTTTTTTGACTCCACCTGGTCCTTAAAATACGTATCATTGCAAACATACAATTATGTTCTACTCTTGAAAAATATTAATCATTTTCAGGATTAATTTGGCGTGTGACGGGACCAATAATCCAGCAACATTAGGGTTTATTTGTGGGAGGCCACTAGATATTAGATTTTTATTATGAGAAAAATGATATTTACGTCGCGGATGATTACCTAGGGCTACTTAGAGTATGTTTATTTGTATAACTCAAATCATGATTTGAGTTGTATATGTGGGAGAAAAATACTATAATAAAAAAATTAAATTTAAATTTATATAAGAAAAAATATTATAATAATATGACTTAAATCAAAAAATAAACAAACCTTAGAGTCGGAACTGAGGAAATGCTTGCACTTCCAAAATTATATATATAATTGTCGCTTTAAAGAGTAAAAAGGTAATAAAATTGTCGCTTTAAAGAGTAAAAAGTCAATTGTGCATCCAAAGTTATATTTAAAGAGAGAGCAAACAGGTAACATATATGAAACTAGAAACATTTATAATATGATGTTTGTTCTACTTAATAATGGATATATATATATATACTATGCTTACAACTTTTCAACGTCACTATTATATTAAAATAAATATCTACGAGCGCGTTTGGTATAAAGGTTCTAAAACTTGAAATTATGATTTTAGTTCAAATAAGTATTTATTTATAAAAAATAAAAAGTGATTCTGATTTGATTTATTCAGAATCAGCGTTTGATTTGGATGGCTCTGATTCAATGTTTGAACCATGATGTGATGTTTTAAACCAAGAATCACCTATGATTCTAAAATCACCCCTTGATTTTGAGTGGTTCAAATATCTGATTATGGTTCTGGTTTTAAAACTATGATTTGGACCCAAAATCATGAATCATGATTCTGATTTCAAATTTAAAAATAGAATCACCCTGGTTTGAACCTTTATATCAAACGAAGCCTACTTTAAAATGTTACGGTGGAAACATAACATGTATAAAAATAAAAAACGTAACATGACATTTATGTAAGATAGCACATTTTATCTCGCAATGTATGGAAGAATTAAATTTCTTGGCTTGTGCTACGTTGCTCAATTTTTTTTCCCTTTAAACCAGAGCATTCATTCATCATTTACCAGCTTGGATAACGTGAATTTGTGATAATTGCTCTATGTAAGTGTATTCCTACAAAAAGTGATCAAAGTTCTTGCATATTATATATCCAAGGGTCCCTGATTAAATCACCTCCGTCAAGGTGGAAGAGAGTTAGCTCCTACTTTATAACCTAAAAAGAGAGGGAAAAAAGATAATTTTTTTTTAATATAATACAAAATTGAACCCGTAATCTCTTCCAAACTCCATCCTCCACTCAGTGTCAATACATACCCAAAGCTATATAGATTGACGGAAAATGGCAGAATTCTGGGGATTTTGGATTTGCCTTGGTATTACCCCAATACGACTATTAGTGAGTTCCAACAACGTGGATTGACACGAAAATATTTAGGCCCCGTTCATTTCACCAATTTAAGTTTAGAATTCGAGTTTTGCTACAGTAAAAAATTCTCAGAAACAGTCACATATAATTTTTTTACTACAGTAAAAACCCTCACATAAAATTACATATCAACTCAAATTAAAAACTCGAATCAGCGAACTGAACAGGTTGTATATTGGATCCGCGAGGAAGATTTTGTTGGTGTTATAAACTAAATCAAGGGTGTTATACTATAGATAGTTTTTAATTTTTTTTAAATAATGAAATACCCAGAAAACTTGTATGTTTCACTAGTTGGAAATTCTCCTTTCTACTAGATATTTGAATTAAGGATGTTAAGAGCTCACTCTAGAGTGGCAAATTGCTACTAATAAGAGCAGCTACAACTATACTAGTCATTTTATGTTTTTAACCAAAATAATTAATGATTTAGTTTTTTTTTTAATTTTCTCTACTCTAACCATTAGCTAAATAATTAGCTATTTTAGAGAATGCCTTTCACAATAACTAAAAAAAACTAATACAGAGTGGTTAGCTATTTCATTTTTTATATTATTTTATTCTTTCAACTGTAATAAATTTTAATTTTTTAATTATAATTTAACTAAAATTTAAAGAGCTATTTTTTTAAGACTAACACCCGTATGGACTAATGTATGGTTATTTTGAATCACGAAAACCATAAAATAAAGATTGCTTTTTGGGATTTGTGTCTTCAAGTGGACTGGTCAAAAGATCAACAATATATTTTTATCGAAATTGTCCCTCTGGTTCGGAAGATGATCTTCGATCACCGATCCGGGTTGTGTTTGGTTGCTAGACAGTAATCTTTTAGATTATTTTTTATAATCAACCGGTTTATTTCTTTATTTAAAAAATAGACAAGTAATCTGGTAGATTTTTTTATATATATATAATTTACTAGATTATTTATAGAATGTCAAGATTATCAAATGAAAAAAAAAAATCCATAAACAGAAATTACAAATCAAATGCAAAAAAAAAAAAAAAAAAAAAAAAAAAAAAAAAAAAAAAAAACACAGAAAGTATAAAATCAAGTTTATGTTAATTTAATGCCAACAACAAAAAATTCCGATCGTTGATTGTCAGTAACAAAGGGAGATCCAACCATAAAATCACAGTAAAAAATTCACAATAATTGGAAGCAAACAAAAAACACAAACGACAAAAATTTCCACAAAATTTTCTAACACAAATAGAGATTCAGAGCTCAAAAATCTCATCTCCAAGATAATTAGCAGGAAATGTTGTTCCCTTTGGATTGTTCTTCTGTGCGCGCGCGGGTC